CCTCATACATGAATCATAATGCTGGGTTGTTTAAATCATTCGTCTTTAAGGAGATGGCTTTGATATTAAAATCCCTGTCACCGATTTCGGCTTAATTTTTACATTTAAAATAAATAAAATGGAGTTGATAACTGTGATAGAACAAATTAACTTGACTAATCGGGTCAGGTTAATTTGAAACAACAACAATGTCAATTTGGAGTTTTAAGAATATTTTACATCTCATGAATTAGGCAACACATGAAAAAGAAAAAAAAAAGATTTTTAATGTCTGAATGAAATGTAGGCTAGGTGTAGGACTATTTAGAAATCATGTACTACACACGGGAGACATTTACACCCATGAAAGATGGTGGCAGATAAGCTGACATGACATTTTTTGTATTTGAGTCATTTAGTTTATTTTACATCAGATAAAGCAGGGTTTTTCCACGTTTAACAAGTTAAGCAAGATTTAAGTCTTAACACTGCTTTGTCAAGATGAATATTTGTACAGAATGGATCCATGGTTCCACTAAACCTGCCACTGTCAGGATGTGTTTAGGCTGAATTTGGACATATTGATTTTAATTTAGGTTTATTTATTTATTTGTTTGATTTTATTCTAGATTTCTTGCCATACAATAAATGAAAAAAACCTGACAGTTAAATCATAAAACCACCAACAGCATTCAGGTGAACTTCTCCATTCACCCTTGATCGGTGGCCATTCAAAAGCCTGGATGGTCGATTCACCGGTACAGATGCGCTCCCCCAGCGCGAGTCGTTTGCCGCAGATTGCGGCAGGAAGACGCACTGCGGGGAGGAGAGGGGGTGCCATTGTACGACGTGGCCCCGGGGCACCCCGTGGATTTCAGATCCCGAGTTGCGATGGTCGACCATTAGCTCCTTTTCAGATTGAAACAATAAGTCTCAACCCTTTGATTCCGCCACACCCCACCTCTCCCCCCGTCGCCTCCCTCCTGTCCTCTGAAACAAACACCAGACACAGGTTTCACTCTGGTCTGCAGGTCGGGGTTCACTAGGGCGATACCTTGGTATCCAATCTGAAATGCCCTTAAGGTCCAAAACAGGTCTGAGGACCATGGTGTTGTCTGCAGGTGCAAGAATCAAGCTGTGTAGGAAAATCTTTCTGCCAGGGTGGTATCCAGCTTGAAATGAAGGGCATGATATTCATTCCTTTTTGTAGCTCTCTAAATTATTTTTGCTTCCTGGCCTCTTATAATGGAGTGGTGCCTGACTGGTGGACAATTAGATTAAATAATGGATTTCACTTCTGCACATTGTGCTGTTTAATTACTCACAAGAGGGGTTTAGAGCATAAACTGGATATAAATGTAAGAAGTGGAATGGAAAAACCAGAAAATATGACAATGAAGATGTCTGGTAGAAATATATAATTCTTTTACACCTCCAGTTGATCTCATGGTCTCCTTCCCAGACTGAGAACCACCATTGTACTGAATTTCTTCTTCTGAACCTTAAAAATCATCTCACCATTTACTATAAGCAGCAGATCAGTACGCTCGGCTGCTATCACAGATATAAAGCCACGTAAATCCAGGATGAGGAGACCTTGGGGAGACCACAAGAGCTTGGTCAATAGCTTAAAAGACATCAAACCCAGCTATACAAGCATTGTCCTGGGCCATGGACTTGGAGTATAATTGTCATGCAAAAGACAGACAGCAAGAGAGATGGTAGACTTTAGGTAGGGCTTCAGAGAGAAAGGGACAGCAGAGCTCAGCGCTCTTCAGGGTGGTCCAAAGGAGGGAGGGAGTG